CTCACTAACATCCACATTTGGTGCCACTTTTCCCACCACCAAAAATAAGTCGTCTCTATGGTCTAAAGTGTACTTTCCCATCCCCCCTTCTCTCCCTGGCAATCACCTATAAACATTGGTCTGTCTGTATCTGTTCTCATCTTACAAAAGAGAGATCATACAGTATTTGTCCCTTATATGCTTGACTTATTTCACTTAGCATTATGCCCTCTAGGTCCATGCATGTTATAATGTGTTTCACAGACTCATCATTATTCTTATGACTGCGTAGTGTTCCATTGTATGTATGTACTGTAGTTTGCTTATCTGTTCATCTGTTGATGGGTACTTCGGTTGTTTCCATTTATTTGCTATTATGAAGCAGCAATGAACACAGGTGTGCACATGTCTATTCTTGCCATTATTTTTAGGTCACTAGGGTATATACCTAGAAGTGGGATTGCTGGATCATACAATAGTTCTATTTCTAGTTTTTTTTAGAAAGTGCCATACTATTTTCCATAGTGGTTGTACCATTTTACAGTCCTACCAGCAGTGGGTAAAGGTTCCGGTCTCCCCACATCATCACCAACATTTGTTGTCAATCTGTTTTGTTTTGTTTTTTTCATTTTTTTCTTTTTAATCAGTGCCATGTAGCCGAGGTAAGATAGTATCTCATTGTACTTTTGATTTGCATCTCTCTAATGGCTAATGGTATTGGCCATTTTGAATCAGACAGTCATATGATCTGTTGCACTGGGAATGACAAATTGAAGAGGAATGACATCTCACTCATCATCAAAGAGAACATTTCAAGATCTATCCTGAAGTACAACACTATCAGTGATAGGATAATATCCGTACACCTACAAGGAAGACCAGTTAATATTTCTCAAATTTATGCACTAACCACCATTGCCAACGATGAGGAAATTGAAGATTTGTACCAACTTGTGCAGTCTGAAATTGATCAAACCTGCATTCAAGATGCATTGATAGTTACTGGTGATTGGAATGGCAGAGTTAGAAATGAAGAAGGATTGGTAGTTGAAAAGTATGGACTTGGTGATAGAAATGACACCAGAGATTGCATGATCGAATTTTGCATTACCAATGCCATATTTATTGCAAATACCTTTTTTCAGCAACATAAACACTGACTATACGTGTGGACCTCACTGGAAGAAAAACACAGGAATCAAATCAGCTACATCTGTGGAAAGAGACAATGGGGAAGCTCAATACCATCACTCAGAAATAGCCAGGGGCCGACAGCGGAACAGAGCATCAGTTGCTCATAAGCAAATCAAGTTGAAACTGAAGAAAATTAGAGCAAGTCCATGAGACCCAAAATATGACCTTGAGTATATCCCACCTGAAAGTAGAGGGCATCTCAAGAATAGGTTTGACTCATTGAACACTGATGACCGAAGACCAGAGGAGTTGTGGGAAGACATCAAGAACATCATAGGTGAAGAAAGCAAAAGGTAATTAAAGAGACAGGAAAAAAAAAAAAGACTAGAATGACTGTCAGAAGAGACTCTGAAACATGCTCTTGAATGTAGAGTAGCTAACGCAAAAGAAAGAAATGATGAAGTAAAAGAGCTGAACAGAAGATTCCAAAGGACGGCTCAAGAAGATGAAGTGAACTATTATAGTGGAATGTGCAAAGACCTGCAGATAGAAAACCAAAAGGGAAGATCACACTCAGCATTTCTCAAGCTGAAAGAACTGAAGAAAAAATTGAAGCCTCAAGTTGCAATATTGAAGGATTCTACGGGGAAAATATTGAATGCTGCAGAAGATGGAATGACACAGAATGACTATACCAAAAAGAATATAGATCAGGGTTCAACCATTTCAAGAGGTGTCATATGATCAGGAACTGATGGTACTGAAGGAGGAAATCCAAGCTTCACTAAAGGCATTGGCGAAAAACAGGGCTCCAGGAATTGGCGGAATACCAATTTAGATGTTCCAACAAATGTATGGAGCACTGAAGGTGCTCACTCGTCTATGTCAAGAAATTTGGAAGACAGCTTCCAGGCCAGCTGACTGGAAGAGACCCATATTTGTGACCATTCTAAAGAAAGATGATCCAACAGAATATGGAAATTATTGAACAATATCATTAATATCACCCAAGTAAAATTTTGCTGAAGATCATTCGAAAGTGGTTGCAGCAGTACATTGACAGGGAACTGCCAGAATTTCAAGCCAGATTCAAAAGAGGACGTGGAATGAGTGATATTATTGCTGATGTCAAATGGGTCTTGGCTGAAAGCAGAGAATACCAGAAAGATGTTTACCTGTGTTTTATTGACTATGCAGAGGCATTTGACTGTGTTCATAACATATTATGGATAACATTGTGAAGAATGGGAATTCCAGAACACTTAATTGTGCTCATGAGGAACCTGCATATAGACCAAGAGGCAGTCATTCGAACAGAACAAGGGGATACTGTGTGGTTTAAAGTCAGGAAAGGTGTGCGTCAGGGTTGTATCCTTTCACCGTAGTTATTCAGTCTGTGCTGAGCAAATAATCTGAAAAGCTGGACTATTTTGAAGAAGAAGGCGGCATCAGGAATGGAGGAAGACTCATTAACAGCCAGCGATATGCAGATGACACAACCTTGCTTGCTGAAAGTGAAGAGAACTTGAAGCAATTACTGATGAAGATCAGAGACTACAGTCTTCAGTATGCGTTACACCTCAACATAAAGAAAACAAAAATCCTCACAAATGGACCAATAAGCAACATCATGATAAACAGAGAAAAGCTTGAAGTTGTCAAGGATTTCATTTTACTTGGATTCACAATCAATGTCCATGGAAACAGTAGTCATGAAACCAAAGGACACATTGCATTGGGCAGATGTGCTGCAAAAGACATCTTTAAAGCGTTAAAAAGCAAAGATGTCACTTTGAGGACTAAGGTATGCCAGACTCAAGCCATGGTATTTTCAGTTGCCTCATATGCATGCAAAAGCTAGACACTGAATAAAGGAGACCAAAAAAGAATTGATGTCTTTGAATTATGGTGTTGGCAAAGAATATTGAATATACCATGGACTGCCAAAAGAACAAACACATCTGTGTTGAAAGAAGTACAGCCAGAATGGTCCTGAGAAGCAAGGATGACAAGACTTCATCTCACATATTTTGCACATGTTATCAGGTAGGACCAGTCCCTGGAGAAGGACATCATCCTTGGTAAAGTAGAGGGTCATCGAAAAAGAGGAAGATCCTCAACGAGATAAATTGACACAGTGGCTGCAACAGTGGGTTCAAGCATAGCAACAGTTGTGTGGATGGTGCAGGATTGGGCAGTGTTTCGTTGGTTGTACATAGAGTCGCTGTGAGTTGGAACTCACTCCATGGCACCTAACAACAGCAGCAACATACATATATATAAAATGTTAACTTCTGTTTTAAAATTTACTTGAAGTCAATATCATAATCATTTTTAATACATTTGTTTTTAACTTGGGATATCGCTTTGAAATGTCTCTAACCAATAGTATCTTCCACTAGGTTTTTAACTTTAAAGGATATCTTTGCATTACGTTAACAAAGTGTTGCATTTTTTTTGCATGTATTGTTTTGTTATTAATTCTTTATTTGAAAAGTTTCCTAAGCTTCCACTTCCAGAGCATTTTTATATAATGATATTCAGTTGTTAGAAAATTTTTTATTAAATTAACTGAAATCCATTTGAGCCGATTTCTCTTTTCATCATTGTAAAGTAGTCTTCCGCACATTACTTCAATGAGGAAGGGAAATGTCACAGAAAAACAGGTTAGTCTTCCACACATTACTTCATTGAGGAAGGGAAATGTCACAGAAAAACAGGTTAAATCAGTGAACAAACAGACAGAAACTGAATTCTGAAATTCGAGAATTTTCTCCTAAATTGTACTGTAAAGTCCTTGAAAGAATAACAGTGCGGTGACATCGCTAGGGAGGTGTGGGGGTGGTGGCGGGGACTGCAATGGGTGACTCTGCGCTAGAGGGTCACACCAAAATGACTGTCTATAAAATTTTTGTTCAGTGTTTCCACCATGCAGCCTGGGAGGAGGCAGCGAGGCTAATCAGCCATGAGGGGTTGCCTGCAATTCCCGCCGCCCCTTTGCCTCCTCCCAGTGGCACCCTAGAGCCACCTGCATAGTGCTCCTGCGGGCCCTGCACCCGTGAGGCGCAGAGCTGCACTTTGACGCAGCTCCCAGGCTCTAGGAACAGAGGACAGGTACTGGCCAATGCTCTTGGGCACACCGTGGCCCGTGTCCACACCGTACCAGCTCCCCTGGCCGAACTCCAAGCCTGGGGTCCCCCAGGCTCTCCGACTCCAGCCCATGCCTGGGGGTTCTCATTGCCAGGGTGCCCTGTGATCTGCATCTGCTGCTTACCCGCAGTAACAACAGTCTCTCCTGGCACCAGGAGAGGAAGTCACCGGGGGGAGGAGGGAGAGGAATGACACCATGAGTTACCACACCGGGTGATGCTAACCGTAGTGACACCACTGGAGCAGTGGCTTATATATATATATAAATATATATATATATATTTTTTTTCATATAAGGATAGATACAATGCTTTGTATGGCTGAGTGTTGAGTCATTCTTTGCAGGGAATGAAAGGATGTCTTAGGATTACTATACATCAGTCCTGCTTACTCTTCCTTTTATTTCTGTGCTAGCCAGTGTTGAGAATGCCATCATGGATATGATCGCTTTAGGTTGAACCATAAGAAATTGTTGATGAAACAGCAAATGAAATTACAAAAATGGTAGTTTCAACCTAATTCTTAGTTTGGCAAAAAGAGGTTTATTTATGAAAAAAAAAGTTTAATTTTACAAAGGTGAATAACTTCTTGTTGGAATAAGAAAGTATTCTAATTAATTATTCAGTCTTACTAATCCATACTTCATGCTCTTTTTCTATACAACCCCTAAAGCATTTCTTATTTTTATAAATTACTTCTGAAAGACAGCTAATATGTTTTGTTTTTTAATTTTTAAGACTGCTGAGAAGACAGGCCAAATTGAAAGATTGAAGAATGTAAGACAAAGACAAACTGATTTTAAGGTAAGTTAAGAATAAGTATGTGGACTTTTTCATAGGTAGGGTTTTCTCATCAGAGTTGCTAGAAGACTTTCTCTATGTTGAAGATAAATTCGTTATTATTCAGGGACAATCCTTTAGTTAATACCATTTTAATGCAGCTTTATTTGTTGATTATTTTTCAGAAAATGATTCAGGAACTAATGCACTCTCTTGTGAAGCTGTCCCGTGGTGCCTTGCTCCCGTTCACCATCAGGGATGGGGATGTGCGGCAGTATGGAGGCTGGGAGGGCACGTCTGGCCTCTCCGGGCAGTGGCTCGCCCATGCCATTCAGACTGTAAGGTAAGCAGGACACCTGAACAGAGGCAAATACTGTTTGCCTTTTTGAAAAAAGGGAACGTACTCAGTATGGAATACGATTTTTAATACATTCAGCAAAGAAGACATTTTATTTTGCCTCCACTATTTCCCACTAGTTATCATTCTAACAACTAAACTCTTAAACTTGCCCAGTTTTATGTTTGATGAGGATACCATACTGTCTGTGCATCTGTTTTATTGTTTAATTCAGTATTGCTGCTATATTACTGTAAAAATGGTGGCGTGGAGGCATTGGACCTCCTCATCTAACTTCACAAGGAGGGAAGAGAATCATTATCAGCATCAACAGCCCAAGGCTGATTGCTGTGAGGTGGAGGTCATACATACCTCCACCCTCCAACCTTTTTACCAGTTTTGACACCAGCTGTCCCTCTTGCAGCACTCTCTACTTCTCTGCTGGGTTCAATAATTTGTTGCAAGGCCACACAGAACTCACAGACCATACTCACAGCTTTGGGGTTTATTGGGGAAGTAACATATTACAATTCAGGATCAGAAACGACTCAGGATACAATTTTTTTATCAGGACAGCCTCTTCTCAGCTGTGCCGGGGTCAGGCCTCAATCTGGTCCTCAGCCCAGCCTCTGCACTGCCCGGGCAAGTGTCACAAAGCTCTTTAGCTCTGGTACTCTCTCTCTCTCTCTGGTATAGGAGGTTCTCAGAGCAGGGACCCTGGTTCCAAAGGACACGCTCTGCTTCAGTCTCTTCTTCTTGGTAGTAGTGAGGTCCTCCGTTTCCGCCTCTGGGATGGCTCATTTTAAGCTCACTACCATGGCAAAACTGACCAGTCCCCTCATTAGGGTTCAATACACCTTTATTTGCATGGTCCCACCTTATTTGTATTATTAGCAAGCTGTCTAATCCCCTTGGTGGGCCACAGGCACCTTATTTGCATAGGTCTACCCAGTCTTTTGTTGGAAGTTACAAAACCATGACTAGAAAGGCCATATAAAAGCAATTCATCACACCGTAATTACAGTCTTTGTTATGGTCTTACTTTCCTTTGTTTTCAGCATGTTCAAGCTTTTCAAGCTTGTAAACTTATGATGAATGATAATTAACATAGAGTAGTCATTAAATATCACAACCTGTTGCTGTCGAGTCGATTCCAACTCATAGCGACCCTATAGGACAGTGTAGAACTGCTCCATAGGGTTTCCAAGGAGTGGCTGGTGCATTCGAACTGACAGCCTTTTGATTAGCAGCTGAGCTCTTAACCACTACGCCACCAGGGCTCCAAATATAACATAGGATGGGAAAAATGATGGAAGTGATTGCTTCAGAGGCCCACTCTGCTCATTTTTGTTTTGTTGTATTTGTTCCCCAGGCTTACTTACGAATCATTGACTGCCCTGGAGATCCCTAATGACATGTTACAGACCATCCAGGATCTCATTCTGGATCTCCGAGTACACTGTGTGATAGTCACTCTGCAGCACACAGCGGAAGGTATGTGAAGAAAATGATAGCTCTGACTGGACAGTAGCTAGCTGAATATGCCACCTCCTTCCAGTCCTCCAAGTCCTTAGAAACGCGATAATTCCTTCCATGGAAATTTGAATATATTACATCATCATATTTCTAGATGCTCAATAGATTTTTCTTCAATTTTTTTTAGATCGATTTAGTTGAGATGCAAGACTATGTAGAAATTATAATTTATATACTTGAAAAATATTTAAGAATATAAGAAAATTCTTATGGTAAAATGTTAAGTAGAAAAAGGATATAAAGTATGATCCAGGTTTTGAGAAAAATATATTAATATATATAAAACATATAATATAAATACATACATATGTGTGTACATTTTAAAATTTTAATTTAGAAATATCTGTGTAAAATTGGAAGAAAGACTTTCAACAGTGGGTTCTCTGGGTAGTAGAAATTGCAGCTGATTCTCATTTTCCTTATACTTTTTAGAATTTCCAAGATTATCTCTGCAGAATCATGAAAAGCAGTAAAGGTTATCTTTACAGAATCAATCAAAAACGTATAAATGGCACAAGTCCTTGGTGTCAGCCACGAGGCCTTTTAAGTAGAAGGAAGGTCACTGCTACCCAGAATTGATGACTAATAAGTGATGTAAACTGACAGAGAAGGGAGTCCTGGTGAGAGACTGAGCCTTCCCCTCTTCATTCCCTCACCGCCCCTCTGCAGGGTCTGAAGATGGCCTGCACTGGGAGAGGTTTAGGAAGAAGGGCACACCTCTAGCCAAGTGAGAATTCTACTGCCGTCCTCTACCATTTCATCAGAAATTTTAAGAAAGAAAATATTCTGTGGTTTATTTTTTACATGTTTAGTATATTCATGAATGCCAAATAAATAATAAATGATTGTCTATATTTGTCATTGAACCTAGCCTAGAATTCTCCAAATTGGGCTATGCAATAAAAATTTTTATTTATGTTAATGTTTTATTAGAAAAAGCCAGTAAACAATGCACATTCAAATCCTTGAGTCTATCAGAATTATATTATATCCCCACTTTTTTACAAACCAGTATAAAACAATTAAAGATCATAACCTTTACAGATTTTTATAAAGTTCAGTGAGATAATTATAATAAAAAGTATGTGTATGCTTCTTTTCCCTACAGAAATAAAGAGATTAACTGAAAAGGAAGACTGGATTGTTGACAATGAAGGACTGACTTCTCTAGTAAGTTTAAACTCTTTTCAGTTATTAGTATTAGTATTTATTATTTTAATTAATTTTTCCCTTAGAAACTATTGCTTTTTTCTTCCTTTTCCATCTCTGTGTCTTTTTTTCTTTCTCTTTTTTTTAAATGAGGAACATGTCCTCTCTGCGTTGCAACTCTGAATAGTTTCTAAAAATAGAAAAGTAAGCTTCTTTAAAATTTTCCTTCTCAGAGTCATTTTTGCTTAACATTAACCACAAATATTTAAAAATTAACAAAAAAATGAATTTCTTTTAGAATGATCTTTCTTCATCCTGTATCACTTACTATTTTTTCTTTGTATTTTTTAAAATAGATTATATTTAATTTCAAGTTACTTAGAAACTTGAATATTTCAGAAACATAAGATTAAAAAAAAAATGTTATTACTGGCCCCTAATCAAAACAAAACTAAACAACAGTAAAAAACATTTTCAGATATATGCACAGAGCAGGCAGGCAACTATAACCATGATTTGTTAATTCTTTGTCATCATCTTTTCAGATAGGTCTTTTAGGTTTTCAAAATATCTTTGAAAATAATATTCATTTTTATTGTTTTCGCATCTGTCTCATGAGTGCCCTCAACAATCCTGGAAGGCGAGTGTATCAGTTGAGATTTGCATGCATCTGTTAGAAAATATCAGTGTTTTAAACAAGACAGAGATTTACTTTTTCTGTCCCATAAAGGAAGTTAGTGCTGGCCTGGCAGCTCAGTCATGTAATGCATGTCAGAAGCTCCTGTCTTTTCTTGTCAGTGGTTCTGAGCACTGACTTCTGTCTCAGGGTGGCCTCACAGTCATAAGAAGGCCACTGTGGCTCCAACACATCATTCTTGTCAGGAAAAAAGTCTCAGCACTTCCCCAGAAGCCAAAACCAACAGCTTCTCCTCCCATCTAATTGGCCAGGATTTAGTCACATGCCTACCCCTGTCTGCAGTGGAAACCAGAAAAAATCATAGTTTTTCAGCACTTTCTGTTTTCAGCAGCTTCTATCTTACCTTAACAAGTAAAAAGGAAAAAAAAAAAAAAAAATCCTGAGTAAGCAACTAGCAGTTTCTGCCTTAGTAGATAAGTGAACTAGAATAAAATGATTTTGACTTGCCGAAATTTGCACACTAGTGATGAGTCCGGCTGTTGAGAAGGAATGATTCCATGCAATATTTCTTCATTTCCGAACATTTCTGTATTTCTTATTGGTAGTCTTTCTTTGGGAGTGGGAAAATTTATTTTGTTGTTGCTGAGAATATACACAACAAAAACATACACCAATTCAACCATTTCTACATGTACAATTAAGTGACTTTGATTACGTTCTTCCAGTTGTGAAAACATTCACCCTCCTTTTCTGAGTTGTGCCTCCGCGATGAACATAAAGTCACTACCCTTAAAGTTTTCTTTATAATCTTTTAAGTTGCTGTTGTCTATTTGATCCCATATAGATAGTTCTTAAAAGAGCACAGTGCTCAAGACAGACATTTTTTACTAGTTAAGCTAAAGTATTTTTTGGTTTTAAGAAGACTTCAGGGGTTATTTTTGGTTTAAAGTTTAAAGATTATCTCAGGGCAGTAGTTTTAGGGGTTCATCTAGCCTCCATGGCTCCAGAAAGTCTGGAGTCCATGAGAATTTACAGTTCTGTTCTGTACTTTTCCCCTTTTGATCAAAATTCTGCTGTAGAATTCTGATAAAAATGTTCAGTAATGGTAGCCGGGCATCATCCAGTTCTTCTGGTCTCATGGCAAAGGTGGCAGTTGTTCATGGAAGCAGTTAGCCATACATTCCTTATCCTTCTCCGGTTCCTGACTCTCCTACTTCCTCTGTTTTTTTAGAGACCAATTGTTGTGCCTTAAATGGCCGCTTGCAAGCTTCTAAAATCCCAGCCAGTACGCAGTGAGCTAGGATGTAGAACAGAAGCACTAAACACACTATTAGGCCAGTTAACTGGGATTTCCCATGAAACCATGACCCTAACCCTCCAAACCAATGAACCAAGCCCCATGAGTTGTTTGATTGTGCATAAGCAGCCTCAAGCGGCTACTCTTTTTGTTGTTGTAAATATATCTATCATACAACTTTTTCCAATTCAACTTTTTATGGGTGTAAACTTATTGACAGCGATTACAGTAGTCAGCTATGCAGCCTTACCCTTAATCAATGTGATTTTTCCATCACCGTTAATCACCCCTTTCCCTCTCCCTTTCGCCCCTGGTAACCACTAATAAGCTTTGGTCTCTGTATGATTGCCTTTTCTTGTCTTTTTGTATAAGTTAGGTCATATATAATTTGCCCTTTGGTGATTAACTTATTTCACTCAGCGTAATGTCGTCAAGCTCCATCCATCTTTCTGTGACTTTGTCTTGGTCACGCTGTGCTGACTTCCCCTATAACGTGTACTGTCTTTCTCTTCACCAAAGTCACCACTTGCCTACTGGCTAATTAGTGATTTCCCCTCCTCACCCCTCCCGTCCCTTGTAACCATCAAAGATTGTTTTTTTCTTTGTATAAACTTTTTCTTGAGTTTTTACAATAGTGGTCGCATACAATATTTGTCCTTTTGTGATTGACTTATTTCACTCAGCGTGATACCCTCCAGATTCATCCATGTTGTGAGATGTTTCATGGAGTCATCATTGTTCTTTATGTGTGTGTAGTATCCTGTTGTATGTATGTACCATAATTTGTTCATCCATTCATGAGCACTCAGGTAGGAGATTCTGTTTTGAGCCATGAAGGAAGAGTTGGGAGATTCCTGATTTTGGAATGTTAAATTTGAACTATTTTATATTTACATGGGTGTGCATATGTCTGTTCATGTGACAGCTCTTACTTCTCTAGCATATATTCCTAGGGGTGGGATTGCTGGATCATAATGGTATTCCTGTTTCTAGCTTTTTAAGGAGGCACCGTATCATTTTCCATAGTGGTGCCGTTTTCCATTCCCACCCGCAGTGCATAAGAGTTCCACTCTCTCCGCAGCCTCTCCAACATTTGTTATTTTGTTTTTTTGACTTGTGCCAGCAATGTTGGGATGACATGGTATCTCATTGTAGATTTTATTTGCATTTTTCTAATGGCTGATGATCATGAGCCTTTCCTCATTTTTCTGTTAGCTGCCTTGATGTCTTCTTTTCATATCCTTTGCCCATTTTTTAATTGTATTATTTGTCTTTTTGTTGTCTAGGTTTTCAAATTTGATATGATGGCTGAATTCTGTTGGCTAGAATTTTGTTGAGCATTTTTGCATCTATATTCATGAGAGATACTGGTCTGTAATTTCCTTTTTTTGTGGTGTTTTTGACTGGCTTTGGTATCAGGGTTATGCTGGCTTCATAGAATATTCACTGGAGTATCCTTTCCTTTTCTTTGCTCTGAAATAGTTTTAATAATACTGATGTAAGCTCTTCTCTGAATGTTTGGTAGCATTTTCCAGTGCAGCCGTCTGGGCCAGGGCTTTTTCCCTTGGGAGTTTTTTTTTTTAATTACCTCTTCAATCTCTTCTCTTATTATAAGTCTGCTCACATTTTCTATCTCAGTTTGTGTTAGTTTAGGTAGGTAGTGTGTTTCTAGAAATTTGTCCATTTCCTTTAGGTTTTAAATTTGTTGGAGTATAATTTTTGATAGTATTCTGTTATGATTCTTTTTATTGTAGTTGAAGCTGTTGTAATGTCCCTCATTTCATTTCTTATTTGGGTTATTTGCTTCCTCTACTGTTTCACTTTTGTCAGTTTGGTCAATGGTTTGTCAATTCTTTTCAGAGAACCACCTTTTGGTCTTGTTGATTCTTTGTATTGTTTTTCTGTTCTCTATTTCATTTATTTCTGCTCTAACCTTTATAATTTCCTTTCTTCTGGTGACTGTGGGCTTTTTTTGGAATGCTCTTTCTGTTTGTTTGAGTTGTAGGGCTAACATTTTGATTTTGGCCTGTTCTTTTTTGATGTGTGCATTTCTTGCTATAAATTAACTTCTGAGCACCGCCTTTGCTATGTCCCAAAGGTTTTGGTATGATGTGTTTTCATTCTTGTTTGAGTCTAGGAATTTTTTGATTCCCTCTTTGATGTCTTCTGTTACTATCTAGTTTTTATGCAAGGTTGTATTCAGTTTACGTGTATTTGATTGTTTTTCCTTGCCCTTCCTGTTACTAATTTCTACTTTTACGGCATTGTGATCAGAGACGATGCTTTATATCATTTCGATGTTTTGGGTTTTATTGAGGGTTGTTTTGTGGCCTGTCGTGGTCTTTTCTGGAGAATGTTCCATGTGAATTGCAAAAGAATGTATAGTTTGCTGCTGTTGGATGGAGTGTTCTAGATATGTCTGTGAGGTCAAGTTGGTTGATTTTGGCCTTTAGATGTTCAGTATCTTTGTGGAGTTTCTCTCTAGATGTTCTGTCATTTACTGAAAGTGGTGTATTGAAGTCTCCTACTATTATTGTGGAACTGTGTATTTTCAGTGCTGTTAGTTTGTTTTATGTATTTTGGAGCCCTGTTGTTTGGTGTTTAGATATTTTTTAAGGTTATGTCTTCTTGGTGGATTGTCCCTTTAATCACTACCTAATGTCCTTCTCTGACTTTTATGGCCGGTTTTGCCTTAAAGTCCGTTTTATCTGAGATTAGTATTGCTACTTCTGCTCTTTTTTGGTTGCTGTTTGCTTTGTATGTTTTTTCTGTCCTTAGATTTTTAATATATTTATGTCTTTGTGTCTGAGGTGTGTCGTCCATAGACATATTTATGGGTTGTTTTTTTTAATCCATTCTCCTACTCTCTGTCTCCTTACAGGTGCATTTAGGCCACTTACATCCAGTGTGATTATTGATAGGTGTGAGTTTATTGCTGTCACATACTGTGCTCTGTGTGTGTGTGTGTGTGTGTGTGTGTGTGTGTGTTGCTGATGTTTTCTTTGCTCCTCTTTCTTGTGTTGAGTTCCTTTTGTTTGTGGATTTTCTTTTCTTTTGTTACTATGGATTTTGTGGTTACTGAGTCTT